CCAAGTAGTTCGCGAGTTTGACACTGAATACTTGAAAGCAGCGCTGAGAGACTTAATGGGGTCACAGGCGCAGCCAGGCTGGGGTTCTCCTCCGTGTGGGAGAGGTGGGGGATTATTCAGAAATAGATTCCTGTGAGTGTGATGGTACAGGGGCCACCATTACTCTGGCTGCTTCTGGAGAAGAATGTTGGGCCCTGCTTTACTGAGTGTGAAGAACTGTACAGAACTACTATGGGCAGAAAGATGTGATACTGGGCACAGGACCAGCAAGCTGGCTGAGCATTGAGATGCCAGCTGCAACACAGCAGTCTACTGACTGATGGTAAAAGATCAGACCTCTTGGCTGTTCTCATGAGAAAACCAACCAACCAACCAACCAACAAACCAGCCAACCACCCAGAAGCAAAGCATTGTACTTCGTGCCATGTGTAACGTACCCTGCACAGGATGCAGTATGGCTTACTGTGAACAGGTGAATGAAAGTTCATGAAAGAACCCAAAGGAGGAGAGCCTGTACCATCCTTGAGCCGAGCTCTGCAAGTGCCTTCAGGAGGCGCAGCCCCCTAGAGTTGATGTGTGTTTGCAGATGACCCTCTTTTCAGAGTCGCTCCTTACCTTGGAGGCCAACATGTCATATCACATGCTGAATATCTGTCCATGATTGGTTTTCAGCTGCCTGAGATTGGTTTCCAAAGATGTGAAGATGCACGGATAGGGATCTGGGATACCATTTTTAGAGTCAGCAGTCTCCCCAGTAAACGAAGAACAGGATATGACTTTGGGGCCAGATCCTGGCACTGGACCCTTGAAGTCCTTGGGATTTCCTGAGCAACAGAATGTCTTTGGGTCTTCGTTCGTATCAGTTTAGGCTAATGAGATGGCTTGGAGTCTGGTCACTAGAAAGACAAAGATTCCAGGGTTGGAGCTGCCAGCCCTACCCACTGATCTGATTTATAAAGATGGAGGTAGGAGGACTAGAGATCGGCTCATAAAATCTCTTGACTGGTGAAGTTGACCTTGTTGCCAGGTCAGTGAGCCAGGAAGAGGACGAATGCTCACTGTTCTAATTTCATTTCTGTTGCCGTGATAAACAAGCAGACTGAAAGCAATTCTTGGGAGGATTTATTTGGCTTACACTTGCATCAGTGAGGGGAAGTCAAGGCAGGAATTTAAACAGCTAATCAGAGCACAACCGCAGTCCAGAGCAGAGAGGAATAAATGCATCTTGGTGGTTTTCTTCACTCCTGCACAGTTCAGGGCCCAGATGTGAAATGGTGCTGCCTACATTCAGGGTGGGTCTTCCTACATCAGTTAACAATCAAAACAGTCTCTGATGGACATCCCCACAGGCCCACCTGATCTAGATAATTCTTCATAAAGACCTTCTATCTATGTGAGTATAGATCATCAGGCTGACAGTTAAAACTAATCTCACAACCACTCCAACTCTAAGGGGATAGGATCTGGGGACTTTGGGGATCATGTGCATTTTCACTGGGCGTTCATTTTATCCTTAGTAGTAAACCTGGAGTGCAAAGACAGTTGTCCCTTATTCATGAGGTTGTGTTTCAAGATGCTCAGTGAATGTCAGAACCACAGAGGGTACTGACTCCTGCAAGTGCTGTTTCTTCTGTGCATGTGTACCAAGTAATAAGGTTGAATTCATAAATTGGGCACATCAAGAGAGTAATAGCCACTCAGGGTGCAGAGCCAGGTGGATCTCTGTAAGTTCAAGGCCAGCCTGGTCCACAGAGCGAGATCCAGGACAGGTATCAAAACTACACAGAGAAACCCTGTCTTGAAAAGCCAAAGGAGGGAGGGAGGGAGGGAGGGAGAGAGAGAGAGAGAGAGAGAAACAGTTAATAATATATATAATAGAACACACATAACAGAGTGTTCATGTAAGTTCTCTGTGTGTGATTTCTTTCAAAACACTGTCCTGTGTACTACTTGCCTTCTTATGATAATGGTGAGATGGACTGAGTGGCCTTTGCAGCTTCTCCTTGGTGTACCTGAATTGCTCACATGACTGCTCTTGTGTGTTGTGGCTGCTGCTAAGTAAAACAAGAGCTACTTGAATGCTAGTTTTGCAGTACCCTGACAGTTGGCTTGGTAGGTAAGAGAAGTGGCTGCTAAGTAGTTGAGTAAAAGGTAGGTGGCACATCCCCAGTGTGGATATGCTGGGCAAAGTTTGGCTCACATCTTGGGCAAGATGGGTCCAAAGAACTCTAGTTTTCATCTGGTATTCAGAATGACATGCAATTTAAGACATAGATGTTTTGTTTGTTTGTTTTAGAACAAGCTATTCTTTTATTATTATTATTATTATTATTATTATTATTATTATTATTATATTTTAGACCTGAAGTTGCCCCACTCTCTGTAGTAGGACCAGTGTGAACAATAGGTAGTGTCGGAGTTGAATCAGAAAGTGTCACTCAACGGGTGGCAGAATCAGTGGGTGTCAGGGTACAACATATGCTATTCTAGGAAAGGCTGGAACATGTCAAGCTTAAGGTCTGATTTATTTGTAGAATCCATGTTAGCTTATCATTGTATTGTTGCCCGAGGTGAGACAGGTAATTTGTATACACAGTAAACATTATCCTGAAGGCTAAGAGACAGATACCAATAAAAAGCCAAGAGATCCTGTATATGGGCCAAGATTCAGTCACACTACACATTGATGAAAATACAAAGGCACACAGAGAGACTTTGTGTAACTTACACTGTTCACCAGCTACTTCAAAATGTAAAGTTTCTTGTGGGAGTATAGTAGGTACTATTATGTGTCTTCTAGAGTCATTAGGCCTTCAGAGCCCAGGGCAGACACCATCTCAAGCCCACACTCCAGAAACGGGCTCCACACCTGATGGCATACTGTGCCAGGGTTGGAGTGCTCTGAACTAGCAAACTACTAAACCTGGCATTTTCCCAGATGGACGTGTAAGGTGGATATTGTGGAATATTATTTTAAGGTGTGTGACTTGTGTTTATTTTGCATTTGTTTAACTCTGTGAAGCTATGTTACTGTGCCTCTGTAAAACACCTGATGGTTTAATAAAGAACTGGCCAATAGCAAGGCAGGAGAAAGGATAGGCAGGGCTGGCAGCCAGAAAGAATATATAGAAGTAGAAATCTGGGAGGGGAAGAGGAAGAAGTAGCCAGAGAAGGAGGAAGACTCCAGGGGCCAGCCACCCAGCTACACTGTGAACCATGGAGTTAGAGTAAAATTTACAGAAGTAAGAGAACTGGAAAAGCCCAGAGGCAAAAGGTAGATGGGATAAGTTAAGGAAAATTGGCAAGAAACAAGCCAAGCTAAGGCCGGACATTCATAAGTAAGAATAAGCCTCTGTGTATTTGGGAGCTGGGTGGCTACCCCGTAAAAGAGCAAAACATCAACAACCAACAACAGGTGGAAATGGTGGAGACTGGTGGAGGCCTTCTGTTGATGCACTGGCAGCAGGGACAGAAAGAACGCTGAGGGATCCTCAGAGCAAGGCAGGCTGTAAGTTCCCCTGCACTTGCTCCTGACTTAGCTGTTGGAAGCCTGCAGCCAGCCTAGGTGCCTTTTGGATTTCTGGGAAGTATTCATGGTGAATTTAAAATGTTTAAATACACACACACACATACCTACCTACCTACCTATCCCTTTTGAAGCATTTTACTGCTTTCTACAATGGACTCATTTCTTTGCAGGAAAGAAAGGCGTAGGAAGTATTTTCTGCCCCTTGAGGTTTCTTTTTGAGTAGTCATTAAGGTTCAAGGAGACTGTTGTTGGCTTTACAATCCTGTGGTCAGGGCGTCTCAGATGGCCATGCTCTTGAGAAAGCCTTTAGTCTGTAAGTGGCAGGGTGATTGTTTGGGACTAGTGGTTGGTTGCCTATAAGGTGTGACAGTGACTTCTCAGTCTTCCTTCTCATCCCTGGAGCGTGGACTACGGTATCCCAGATAGGCTCAGTGTGCTTCTTCTCGATTCTGAGTGGTGCTGAGGAACTGTCCCACTCTTTCTCTTGTGTGATTCAGATACCCTCCTGCATGTGGCCGTCTCTTCTGTGGAAGGGCATGCTTTGGATCTCCTGGGCCAGGGCTTCTGTCTTCAGATGGAATTCCTCTGAGGACACACAGATTGGCTCCTCTGCTCAACTTAATCTGTTATCTGTTTGTGTTCTGCTTTGAAACCCTGTCTGTGGGAGCCGCATGACTGCCCTGTCATGGGTGACTGCTGATGCAGGTCTGCAATGGTATGCATGTCACTGCGGAACATCTAATACCACTTGTCACAAGCTGATTTTAAAGGGAAAGTCTGGTTCTGTGAGGTTGTGTGAGTCTTCTTTCCTTCATGTTTGGGGAACACAGAGGTACCAGGAGGTCTACATCCATCCTCTGCCAGGCTTTGATGGTGGGTAGGTTCCAGTCTTATTCTTGCCTCAAGTCAGAATAGCCAGATTGGTTCCTGAATGTGATCTAAAAATGGATTTCAAAGAAATGATTGTGTAATCTCTGGAAGGCCACTGGTGCTGGCAAGGCATTCATTCCCCAGGCTGCTTGGAGTACCCCAGCACCCTGCTTTCCTTCTGTCCGCCTCACGTGCCCCAGCTGCTTTGTTTGTGTCCAAGTCCAGACCCTTCCTTGTTATCTTGGAAGAGGGGGAGCTCTTTATCTTAGTGCTTGTGGTCTCTGCAGAAAAGCCCACTTCTGATAAGCCCACTCTGGGCTAAATATCAGTGAGCCATGCTAGCTCAACCAGATGCCATGCCCTCAGGCGGGAATCCCAGTTCACCATATCTCAACTGGGGGCTGTTTTGATTACAAAGAGTCTTTCATTTTCTCTGGCAAGTAAAAATCATCAGTGCTGGAATTGAAACTGTCCTCTAGAAGAAGGTGGGTGGGACTGCCGGGGGTGGGGGTTGGAGGCGCACGTGCTTTCCAGTACCATTTGTTGCCGAAAACTTCCTGCTCAACTCACCGTTTCTCAAGCCAGTGTCTCCTCTCCTCAGATGGACTTTCTGGCCGAGACCAGCCGGTGGAGCTGCTGAATCCTGCCCGTGTGAACCACATGTCCAGCACGGGTAAGTCAACACGCTTGCCTGGGCTCTGAAGGAGGGAATATAATGAGAGGTTCAAGTCGCTTTAGAAGTAAGTGTGATAGGAGCCAGTGTGCTGGGCTTGGTGCCTGCTCAGATGACATTTCAGCTGGGGGCCTGTGCTCTGCCTTTCCTTTCCCACCTACCACACCATTGGCTTCACCCGAAATAGTTCATGGAAATGGCCAGCTTTTAAAGTTGAACTTTTGGAGAAGTTTTGACTTTCCCTTTCTCTCAAGTTCAGTTTGCTCAAGTCATTTTGTCTAACACTGTCATAGTTTGGGCTTTTTGAGATAGTTTCCTAGTACTTCCCAGTGTGGAATGAGATAAGAATGTCTCACATGCCCTGATGGGCTATGAAAAAAAAATGGTAAATAAACAATTTCTGAGAAAACCAGAAAGCTTTGTGTTAGCTTTTCTGCCATGCTCTGGGAGAGCCTGTTGCTCGGTGTGGGGCAGGGTGTGGCTCACAGTGCTGCCTTGTGACCTGCCTTCAGTCTGCTGCTGTGGCTGTGAGTCCCGTTGCTGAATACCTGGGTTTTGTTTCTCACTCCTCAGACATGAATGATAATACTTCCCTATGGAGTTCTCAGTAAGCTCAAATATCTGTTAGCTTTTTAGTAGTTCTTCAGTAAATGTCGTCTCCTAATGGCACACTGACTGGTGCTGAAGATGGCGTGGGATGTAGCTCTGATGTGCCAGCTCAAGAACCAAGTGTTTCCTGTGCCCGTTATCCTCATTTTCTTTCTCTGCTCCAGGGATGGTGTGTCAGCAAGGACTGCCCACATGACATTCGCTCTCTGCTTACCTCAGTAGCCAAGCTCCTTTGTTTCCTAGCACAGGTGGCACCTTTGGGCAGTACTGAAGTCAGAGTGTTCACAGCATGAGTTTAGGCCTGTATAGAAGAAGTGCTGCGAGTAGGCAGAGAAAGGCATGTTTCCACAGGGTGTGTGGAACATCTCATGGAGCCTACATGTAGCATAGAGGACATGACATGCTTTCAACTCCATTTTGGTCACTTCAATCAAATATCAGATGCCTCACGGAACTAATAAGCGTGAGCTACAAAAGACTTTGAAAATTGGTGTGAAGTATCTTTCATGTTGCATTTTTATAATACGGAGCAGAAACAGTAAGTGTGTTTTGTGTCATCAGCTTATGCTGTATTCCTGACAGTTGAGTTAACCTTACCTATTTTCTGACATGCCATGAGAGTGTGTCCCATGTAAGCAAACCGCCTTTCACTGGAGTCGGAAGAGTGCCCAGGTCTCATTGCCAATCACATCTCACTTCTGGACCATTCCTTGTCCTGCATTCATGAGCATAAGACAATTCTGGTGATGACAAACCAGCCTTGCTACTTTGTAGCAAGAATTATTAGTACTAGAAGCTGCCCTAACATTTTCTTTGGCTCTCCCTGCTCCCTTGGTGCAGTGCTGAGGAGTATGCAAATTGGAGTTTTTCTTGGGAGTTTAAGACTGACTCTCTCAAAGGACTCCCAAAGACAGCCCACCCAGGCCTCCCTGTGCTCCCAGCTCAAATAGTCCTGCTCTGCTCTTTGCTTTCACTTTCCACTACTGGGGCAGTCTCCCAGGGCCTCTGTGTGTTCAGGTCCCATTTCTTTCCCTCTTTCATTCTGCCCTGGGCTCAGTATTGAAGGAAGCGGAAAAAGACCTGTCCTGAGCCCACCCAAGACACCATCTTGTGGCCCTGTTGCATTCTGGTTTCTTTGTTCATCTGGCGGGCCTGCCCCTCATCTCTGGGTTTTACTACCTTCCATCCATCCCAGAGGCTTTGTGAAGGTGTTGCTAGCAGGAAGTGTTGCAAATGAAGCAAACAGCCGACCCAGGGAAGTCCAATGGAGAGGCTAGGATGGAAAGTCTTGAGGGCTCTTGGTAGATGGAATCAACAAGGGCAAGGGTAAAGGGGAGGAGCCCAGCAGAGGGGCTGGGGTACTGGGTTACCCAGTATGGAGTGGGATGCTTGGCAGTATCTCTTTTGCCTGCCAACCCTTCACTACAACCCTGTGCTCACCCCGTGGGGGAAGTGACTGGTTGAGATATGAGGTAGAGCTACTTTCCCAGTGTTGACCTCTTAGTCCACTCTGATGTGTTATTGCTGATGGGACTGGGTGAAGAGTTATGCTTGGGGTCCTTCTCTGGCTATGTGGCTGCCTGCTTTCCTGTTTTCTGTTTCCTCCTATTCTCTTGGGGGGTGGGAGAGGGGCATGGTGCTGTCCGGTTTTCTTCACAAGTGTCGTGTGTCTGTCAGGGCCCTGCCTTCAGTCTTTTTTTTTAACCTGTGAGCCCATTAGCTGACAAGACTCTGGCCAGTTCTCACAGCTTATACTCCCAGTCTTGTTGAACCCCTGTAACCTCACTCTGATGGGTGCTAGCTACTGGCATCCTGGAGCAAGAGACCAAGCACGCACCTCAACAGGTAACCTGCAGCCTCCACCCTGCCCTGCTTCTGCTCGGTGCTTCTTCCTCTGTAGAGAGGGATCTCTGGCTTTGCCAGTGGCGTGAGTACGGGGAGCCAGGTGGCCTGGGCTTCCTGAGCAGATGACTATTACTACTTCTGCCTTGCTCCAGGTCGGGTGCTGCTGTCGCTGTGCCTCTGAGCACTTCATAGCTGAACCAATGCTTCCCATGGCTTTCGAGCCAGTCTGTCTGAAGAGACACTGCTCGAGGACCTGTCCACGTTCTATCTCTTCTTGTACACGATGTGCTTGCCGCTGTGTTATCCTCCACTTATATGTGCTTGTGCGAGCATTATATCTCTGTAAACAACCCGCTTTCCACTCTGATTGTGTTCACTGCCATCATTTACGAGAAGTGCTGCTGGTTTGGAATGTACCCTCTTGACTGGCTGGCTTCCCTCTTCCGCCCCCAGCCTAGACCCTGCCCTTCTCTGCTCTGCCATCCTGTTTCCCAGCTGGGTTCCTCACCCCAGTACCCAGGAAGGAAGAAAGAAGCCTTCCCTTTTGGGTGGATTTGGGGTTGTTTACGCTCCGCACCGTGGTCCATCTCTTCAGTTCCCTGTAGCTGGCTACAGACCAGAAAAGCTCCTTGTCCACCACAGGATGTTCTGTGAGGTGGGAAAGGTAGATAGGTAGCTCTTTGTTTTAGTGCTGAACACTCAGGGTGCCTGTCCAAACCAAATAGTTCTCATTGTGTGTGGTGTGCTCCCAAAGGTCTCAGTTCCATGGATTCCCGTGTCATGAAGCTGGTAACTGGCTGGGGTGTGTGTGTGTGGGGGGGTACTTATATCTGTGGATGCACATGTGTGTACCAGGTGCATGTGTGAGGTCAGAGGTCAACTTTTTGTGTTCTTTTGCACTCATCCAACTTTCCTGATATGGAACCTAGAGGTCTGGGATTAGACTAGGCTGACAAGCCCTGAGGGTCCTCTTCTCTCCCCTTCCTTAGCTGTAGGATCACATGTACTCACCACCTTGCCCAGCTTTTTACACATTTTCTAGAGATTGATCTCAGGTCCTCAGGCCTGCACAGTAAGCATTTTACCTGCTAAACTGTCTCTCCGTAACCCTCTTCCTCCTCCTCCTCCTCCATTTCTTAATTTTAAAAGGAAAATGTGTAGTGGCCTCGAGTAACATCTAGGTCTTTGACTGTACAAAGGATGGAAAACTAGCTGCATTTTCCATGGGTTTTGGAGAGTTCTGGGCAGTTAGGGCAGGAAGGAAGGTTTTGCTTTTAAGTGTTGGGGTCAAAAGTGTCATTTAGACAGGACTAGTGTACAGAGACAGATTTATGTGACATTTGCTCTCAGTGCACTTTGAATCTGTGTTTATTATCAATTTTTATTATAGGTTTTAAGACTTTGGTATCTCAGGTAAATCAGCCAGGACATGCAGGAGGATTTTGTCAGCCCTTGTCTACCTTAGGTAGCTGGGGTGTGGCATCAGTTTTCAGTAGCTACATGTTAGCCTTGCATAATATTTCCTACTCCCAACAATTGGTTACCTTTAGGGATAATCCCTTTGGGGCCATACCCTGTACACTTGGTTGAACCCTCAGGTCTCTGTGTTCCCAAGTGGCTCACATGCTGCCATGTGGAACCAGAACCCCAGAACCTAGATCAAGGGGCCTCTTGACTAATGGACTGAGTGTTTGGCTGGAGCAGAGGGCAGAAGCAGGTGGCCCTGTCAGGTTGGTAAAGAGTTTGAGGTAGGGGATGCCATCTCCATCTCATTAAGGCCTCCTGAGCATTGTGAGCAGCCTGGGCTGTGTCTTACTCCCTTTCTCCGGCATCCCTGGCCACGCCCCTTCCTTCATGTTTCCAGCTGGACTGTGTCTGTTGACTGAGAGGAGAGCTAATGGGGACTGTGGGTCATCGTGGCCCTGGTAGCTCCAGTTTGCCCTCCGAGAACCCATTCCTTCCCTGTAGATTCCCTGCTCTGTACCTGTGTGCACGCTCTCCTCCCCACGCCCCACCTCCTTGTGTTGATTTGGATGTCCTCGTTCTTCTTGGATTAAGCGTTCAGCTCATTTATTTTGGTTTTTCCTTTTTGATAAAAGAGTTTAGGTCATACCCTTCTCTCTGGGTAGGAATGAGATGGCTTTTGATAAGTTCTAATTTGTGATGTTTAATTTGTAAAATATGTTACATCAATACTCTGTAAAACATGTTTCTCAAGAGAGTTATTTTCAAATTTCTTCTATAGTTCTTTAAAAAAAATGATACTTAGGTATTTTTAAAATCTGAAAGTAGGAGTTTTCCAGTAGACCTTTGCTAGGATAGTAGCTTGCTGTTGCATGTTAGAAGTTATTGACCCTTTGGATTTGGGGAGACTCCAGTGTGCCACTTGTGTAGAATTGAAGCAAAGGTCAGAGGTACTGAGTACCATGGAAAGTAACAGGACCGTGAGGAAGACGGACTCTGGAGGGCTGTCCAGGAAGCCATAGACTAGCTCATCCTTCACTCACTCACTCCTGCAGGTTGGAGTTGCTTGCAGCCAGGCTGTC